TCCACCCCATGTGAAAGTAGTGAGTAGGGCTTCCTTAGTATAATTGACTATTTGAGGCGCTTAGTCGTATGGGAGCATTTCGCGAGGTGCAAGGGGAGGGTGACCAGCCGCAACTCGAGACATCCATCCCCGCGACTATACTGAGGCTTTCGGAGGCACGCTCTGATTTGGCAGAAGTGAGGTTAAATTGACGCAACTGGAAAAGATGACAGAATGTATATGGAAGATGAAAAAGAAGAAACTTGAAAGAGTTTACTAAATGCCTACATATTGTGTTCACTATATTAATTCAGGATGTTCTGAGACATTGATGTAACTTGTGCTTGAATAAAAATTGAATCTCCTGGTCAGACACCTACTCTCTCTCATCGTCACAGATATTATACAAAGGCCGGATAAAGTCAGAACTAGTTAGCTAATTAGCTTTCAGTTTTGTGATGACCGGCTAGCAGTTTCCATATTTTTACTTTGATGGGAATTTGGGCAAAAGAATAACAAACAAGACGGTTTTTGAGTGCCATCATTTTTCCAGCTAGACTGATTACACGCTCTGAGTGAATATGATATGTAATGAAAAACGCTTTTTCGATTGTCCATATTCATAACCCATTCGAATCAAATCCATTAGTCCTTCATTCCCATCGATTTCGGATTTTGTGATTTCATATTTAGAAGACAGAGTGTTGTATGCCTATATCTAGTGTGTAGCATTATTTAATTGATTTCTAATTGTTGTTTTTACCCGCCGTGTTTCATTTTCCCGCTCATTTTCTTTCTCTCTCCCTGTGTGCGTGTCTGTCCTGAAATACAAATGACTGTTTCAGTTTGTGAATATTATTCCCATTACGAATGTCTGGATTTTGCCTCGGCGGACTGCAAACAATGTGCTCTGTCCACCATGACCAGTGTCCAAAAGGTGAGAAGTCTTCCAAGACATACCGGTATGAGTATTTCTTGTCCCACTTTGGTTTTACTCAGTCGGTCTCGGTGATCTCATGATGCTGAATGCAATTTGATTGACGAGGTGGTGGTAGAATGATACACAAAAGTCCAATTTTTATGACATTCTTACCCATACAGACGCTTAGCTGATTTCCCCAATCAAGTAGGGGCTACTGGTTTTGAAAATCCAGGTCGAAAATTTCCGTAAGTGTCAGATTTGAAGAAACAATTTCACAAACTAGATTGAACGCCCACAAACTGAAAGAGGATTTAACAGGGATTGAGAACAAGTCTATTTGAATTCATGTGCACCGTTTGTCGGTTCATTGCTTGTTGTTCAATACAGAATGGGACTGACAGACTGTTGTCCTTCAAACATTGGTCGTCAGGACTGATTTTTTCGAATTCACTTGTGTCGTGCGCATTGATGAACAAAACGAGTCTCTCTCTTGTTAGTTTTGTGTGAGAGCTTGTAGCTGTAAATTTCTTCTTATCGCTTGTCAGTTTCCCACCCTCATCATCACCTCTCAGCAAAAATATCGAAGTCATAATGGTTCAACAGGTACTATCACAATGATCATCAACACTACTTTTTATTGCATTAGTTTACAATATTGATAATATATTCGTGATGGGAACAAGAAATCGCCCACGCATGCATATATATATTTATATATATGAAGTTGGAATTTTGTTTGTATACCCAAGAAGTCATGTTACAATAACCGTCAAGGGATGAAGACAAATAAACCTGATAGTTAGATCTAGCTAGATAAAATGAGAAAATACTTGGGGTTCAGTAGAGTAAAGCGACTTAGATCGCATCATTAGAATAAGCTCGTTAACTGATTATAGTTTCATTAAATATTCCCATCGTGGCATCAAGAAAACACTATAGCGAACAAAGCTTGTTTTCGATAACTTCCTCGTGTAGCTAATGCAATATATATATATATATATATATAATTGGAACAGCTCATCCTATCCAGCGGTTGTGACCATTTCCAAACCATACAACAACAACAAAAAAAAACACTGTTCTTTCATTTCCAAACCACATATCACAAGATCACAACCAACCAATCATATTCATCACATCAGCCAATTACGCTAGTTTGACTTTGACAATTTTGAACCCTATATATAACTGTATTAGCCCGATGATTATATTTTGTTTACACAACTTGAACATCTTAATGATCAAAGAGGGTAAATCAATTAGAAAACGAGAATGATGGTTGCATCAATAATAATAATAATAATAATAATAATAATATACTTTTCAAGTCACAGCTCAAAATCGTCATTCCTGATTTATCGGTACCACTTAATATTAACACCGGAATAAGATTGATGTCAACCTATGGTTCAGCACACTAGAATTTGAAATTATAAATTTACGTTATATTTGTTACGATTTTCACTTTCCCTGGGCGCTGGTGACTTTCCTTCGATAGACCTATGCTTCTGGTGTATGTGCCAACCAAGCACAGCCTCTTTTGCAACCGACCACCACCTCTCCCGTGTCACGTAGTTTTCCGTCCAAGTCCTCCGCCGAAGACTGTCCTGACATTGTAACCACCGAATCAAATGAGACTCAACCGCCACTGGGCTCTGCTTCTGGGCCTTCCCCATCTCCTACTCCGGTATTTGCCCTGTCTATACCTTCACCCATGCGTTCCATGAGCACGGTTAGTTGGTCAGATACAGTTGTATCACCGATTCCAAGTGGTGCTTCCGTTGCAGCAAGTGATGCGGAAAAGCAAGCTGCGCCTTCCGTAAGTGGAACTACTGGATCGGTCAGTGGTACTACTAATACTAATACTACTACTACTACCACTACTACTACTTTTACTACTACAACCGTCACTGCGACTACATCCACGACGGGGACCACTGTGGGTGTCTCACAAGCACATCACTGGCGTGAAGGAAATCTACCCATGTATTCCACGTGTACCGTGTGTCGTAAAACC